CTCAAGTAAGTGCAAAAAAGTATTTGGTTAAAGCCTGAAAAAAAACAAAATAAACAAATCAATAATGTAACTGAAATATAAGAAATCCATTCACTCTTCCCTTCATTAACACCCCATTATCTATGTATATCACAACTAAATGATTGTGCTCACAAATAAAGTGGCAGCATTGGTATTTTTATTGAAGTATATGTATATTATGGAGACAGACACATAAACCCCCTGTCCCTGTTCTATTTTGGTCAAATTAATAATATTAAAATGAAAAAAAAAAACGAATGAAAGAAATGTTTAATTACCATTACGTATACTTTTTAATATAAAGGCCAGCAGTTGCAACTGTCCCTTTTCCTGTCAGCCATGGTAAAACCTCAGGTGCTCTTGATCCAAGCTAACTATATAAGCTATAAGTAAATCTATCATTATTTTAACTATATTGGTACAGACAATAACTGAAGCTTAAGCAAACTGACTGCCAATCTGGCTCCCTGAGCAAAGACCCTTAATCCCGGACTGCTCCCCAGGCGGCGCACAATAGCTGCCCACTGCTCCCCAAGGGGATGGGTTAAATGCAGAGGGTGATTTTCGTTGCTCTGAACTTGTGACAGTGTAATGACAATAAAAAATAAAATAAAAATATATATATTCCATACAACGAGTTTTTTTTTTCCAATAAATTCTGAAGCAGCTCTGAAATATTTTCTTTTTCTCTCAAAGGGGTGTTTATGTGTTAGGAGATGTGCATAATGGGACACTTAGTCACACCTATAAATTAATGCAGGTAGATAATCATCTCTTTATGGTTCCCTGCATGCCCCTGTTTCTCTTTTATGCCTTAGACTGACAGAAAACATACCAGAACAGACCGACATACCTGAGTTGGAACGTAAAGGTCTTTTTATTCAGACCCTTCTCCTCCGATACCCACAAATAAACCCAGTGCAACCAAAAGATTAACTTTATTTTTAAACAAAAAAAGTTCTGTGCAATCTAATCTCAATATTAACACAGCCGGTCTATGAAGGCCTGTGAAAACAGCATGATGAACACCAAGAATCACAGCAGATAGCTCAGTGAGGAAATTCAGATATAGGTTTATTGCAAAGATAATATATAAATTGATATTATAACCTTTCACAAACCTACAGGGTGCTCGATCATCCACGTTTCAGATAGTTTAGCACAGCGGTAAACATAAATAAGCAAAGAGAGCATGCAAAGACAGAATATATCAGAGAAACTGTCAGGGGTACTTTTGGGGGAGCTGCAGACTCTCATAGCTCAGGTTTGAGAATCTAAAGACAAGCATCAGCATTTTATAAATATGACAAGAAAAGCAGCTGGAGGAAGGAAAACAAAACATCCTGTTTTAAGTTAGCCACAAATGAAATGTATAGAAGGCAAGTATGTAAAATAAGGTGCTCTAAAAACAGAACTAAACAGTTTTTACCTTTTTGCTAAAAGAAAAGAAAAAAAAAATACACACAAACCCCCCCCCCTGAACATTGAATACATGATCCAACTGTGAAACATGGTATGAGTAGAATTATGCTGTGGGGTGCTTTTCTTGAGCAGTGAGGCTAGCCCGAGTTTAAGTGAAAATAGATGCAGGAAAAACAAAGGAGAAAAACTAGAGGAAAACATATTAGTGGGTATAAAATACTTTCAGCAGCACGTCTATAAACAAATAACTAGATCTACATAACAGTTTGGGGTAAATATTAGTCATGTATTTTTTTAATCTACACCGGCCCACTTATGCACCCCCGACACCCCCCCACCCACCCCCCTAAAAAAAAAATAGAAGCACAGTAAAAACGTGTGCGTCTCAAATGTGAAGCACAATACGAACACACATTGTGGATTAACCGATCTATCTTCAAGCATCACACCACAACCTTCACCAAGACTTCTATAATGCGGTTTTACTGGCTAAAATCTTGAATTGGGGGGGTGGGTGTGAATATGATGTACCAAGATATTCAAATTTTCTTCTGGGAAAAAACTGAAAACCTTGTACAATTCTTTCCCACTTTCCACCAAAACAACCCATTTAAACACAGAGATTTGTGATTGTAATGCGGCAAAACATACAAAACTTCAAGGCAGACTTTTCTATGGCAGCATACAGAACATGGATCAAATCCTGACATGTGTTTTTGTGTCTGTGGGGTCCAAAAAACACAGGCCTGTTTCTTACCTAAACACAGAGTGGCCTGTGTGCTGTTAGGGCTGTGTCTCTGCCGTGCAGCTACCTGTCATGTCACTGTTTTTAAAAAAATCAGAAAGTGTGGGCAGGTCTAAGGAGATCCTTGCCCTTAATATTCTGGTAATGCTTATTTAAATAAAAACATGTCAAATGCACATCTATCAAAACCTTGGTTCCCTCTTCTTTGTGTTCCACAAAAAAAGATGTCAACAAAAGCAGTCAGAACTACTTATATTGGTTAAAAACTATCTCTGATGCTGCTCTCTGACGGTGACCTTTGCCCTACCTTTGCAGCAGATTGTTTTTAAGACACAGATAAAATATTTTTCCCTTAAAATATAAAGAATGAACTATCATATCGAGGAACCACAGCATAGAATTGAAAGCTCAATTAATTATTGATATTTTTTGATGATAGACCCAAAAAAAACCTAAGCAAGGTGTCATCTGCATAAAATCTAATAATGGGGGGAAATGTACCATAAGAACAGATTATAATGGGCCTAAATGAATGTTTTTATTTCA